AAACTTCTTTTCGAACACATAATGGTTACTATGAGTATTTGGTTATGCCCTTTGATTTAACCAATACTCCTAGTACCTTTCAATCATTGATGAATGATATCTTTAGACCTTTTCTTCAAAAATTCACTTTGGTATTTTTTATGATATTCTTATTTTTAGTAAAAATTTGTATGATCATGTTTATCATTTGTAAACGATATTGAGTGTGTTGAGAGAGAATTCCTTATTTGCTAAATAGTCCAAATGTACCTTTGGCACTCCAAAGGTAGAATATTTAAAGGATTTTATATCCGAAGAAGGTGTTTAAAGCTGATCCAAAAAAATTAAATTGGTGCAACAATAGATCGTTCCAAAGAATTTAAAGCGGTTAAGGGTACTCTTGGGTCTCACAAGAAGGGCTATGGCGAGAATAGCTAAACCTATAACCGAGTTGCTAAAAAAGGATGAGTTTGTATGGAAACTTGTCGCTAATAGAGCTTTTCCGGAGTTAAAACAAATGCAATGGTTATAACTCCAATACTAACATTACCTAACTGGAATGAAGACTTTGTGAGTGAAACGGATGCATCTAAAGGAGGAATTAGAGCAGTATTAATGCAACAAGGTCATCTCATTGCTTATATTAGCAAATTATTGAATCCTAAACACCAATCACTATACGTCTATGAGAAAGAGCTATTAGTTATCTTGTTTGCTTGTCAAAAAATGGCATCAATACTTAGGACACAAACACTTCATTATCAAAATAGATCATTAAAGTTTGAAGCATTTGTTAGAGCAAAAATTACACATGTCCAGATCAGTTTACTTGGTTAGCCAAATTGATAGGATATGATTAAAAAATCATGTATAAAAAAGGTAGAGAAAATGTGGTCGCATATGCTCTTTCAAGAATGCAATTGGCTATCATTGTTGTTTCTGTTGCCTCTACTAATGTGATGACTCAAATTCAAAATTCTTAGAGTTCGGACCCAAAACTAGCCAGACATCTTAACACAATTATAAAACTTTAGAGGAACACATCCTAAATATGTATGGCAAGATCAACAATTACGAAGGAAAGACAGATTGGTGATTGACAATGTGGATGAACTACACAAGAAAATGATCTCATTCTTCCATGATTCAATTTGTTGGTGGCCATTCGAGAATTTAAGGAACTACAAAAAAATAGCAGACTTTGTTATATTAAAAAGGGTTACATAAGGATGTGTGTGAATATCCATGTAATTTTCCAGTTTGTCAAGCATGCAATTATGAAAATGTGGCTATTCTAGGTCTATTACAACCATTGCCTTTACCTCATGTCATTTTCACTAATATTACCATGGATTTCATTAAAGGGTTACCTACTTCTTAAGGTAAGTCAATGATTTTTATGGTTGTAGACAAATTTACTAAATATGTTCATTTTATGTCTTTAGCTCACCCCTACATAGCTAAGGCGGTAGCTACTATGTTTATGGATAACGTATACAAATTGTATGGATTACCATAAACAATTATTTTGAATAGAGATACGAGTGTTCCTAAGTGAGTTTTGGAGAGAGTTGTTTGTTTATCAAGGGGTTTTATTATAATTTTCCACTCGCTTATCATCCCAAAAATGATGGACAATCGGATGTGGTTAATAAGTGTCTACAAACATATTTAAGGTGCATGACTCGCTGATATTCCAAATGTTTGGCATAGGTGGTTATGTCTAGCTGAATTCCGGTATAATACTTCCTTTCATATCTCTATTTAGCAAACTCCTTTTGAAGCTCTTTACGATTATTCCTCTCTTATCCACCTATTGTAAGAAAGCAAATGTTAATGAGATTTTACAAGACAAAGAGCATGTCACTATAGTGCTTAAACATCACTTGACAAGGGCACAACATAGAATGAAAGGGCAAGTCGATAAAAAATGCATTGACAAGGAATTCAACATTGGAGATTAGATTTACTTAAAGATGTAACCTTACGAGTAACATTCAATAGCTTCAAGAAGAATCATAAACTTTCTTATTGGTTCTTTGGACCCTTTAAGGTGCTTGACAAAATTGAGAATGTTGCTTATATCTTACAATTACCTCATAACTCTCAAATTCATTCTACATTCCATGTCTCTCAACTTAAACCTATTGGAGGCATGATTCAGTTGCAACATGATTTAGCTTTGTCCTTTTCTAGTGGCTATTCTAGACAAAAAAATGGTCAAAAGGAGCAACCAAGTTGTTGATTTAATGGTATGATGGAACAATAGCTGAAGCTACTTAGGAATTTGCGTTTGATATTGAACATCGTTTTCCTCGCTTTAACCTTGGGGACAAGGATTCTTAAGAAGGAAGATATTGATACGATCGACTCGAAGAAGATAACAAGCTGGAGCTAACACCGATGTGTTGGATATTATTAGCCGACAAGGCTAACGAGTGACGATGAGTCGGCAAGTGAAGCAGTGAGGTTATTAGTTAGTTATTAGTAATTAGTTAGTTTGTTAATCGAGTGGTTAATAATAAACGAGGAGTAAAGAGAGTGTAGGAAATCAGTCAAGCAAAACCTAGAATTTCTCTCTCTCCATTCTGTTTTCTTCCTCCTCTGGAATTCTTGTTCTTCCTCTATAATTCTTTCATTTCATTGTATACATTGTTGCACTGATTTCATTCTATATATTTCTATTGTTTCAATCGATTTTAATACAAATTCACATTTCATAATCTGTTATTGCAATTCTCTATTAGTTTAATTCAATTTGAATTGTGAGTTGCATCAAAATGATACCAAACGTATGCATCTGAAAAAATAACCCTGTAAATCGTAATTGCAGCACAAAGTGATATTTGAGCTAATCAGCAACCAACCAAGAGGTGTATTCAAATATTAGTAAGGCTCCCTCTGCAGAAAGGCCAAGGCAGAATAAATTCTGTTTCAGAAGTGGGCTCTTTTTTAAAAGCTTAAGATGCCTAACACGCAAGCCATACTTTTTCTTTCCTTTTGGAGTGCCTACATGACCTTTACTTTCTCCCTAAATTCCTAATACCACCACCCAATAAAAAGGGAGCGAGGAAAGCAACTGTCACCTGCCGATCTCTCTATTCCCCCTCTAAAACTCCTCTAATTGCCTACTATTTGGAATGTGACAATCAGCCATGAGAAAAGGTGAGAGAGTAGTTCAATTGTACATCCGTGTATATGAGCTCATATGGAGGAGCCACATGGTTGGAAAGAGAATAGTACTTCAGCTTTTTGTTGAATAATCTTGGTCCCATGAAGAGCCACCCACAAGCACCAATTACGCTGCTCGAGTCTAAAAACAAGCTTCTTTACTCATTTTGTCACTTTGTCAAAATCTTTATTGCTGGGAGTCACTTGAGTTTAATCAGTGGTTAAAGAAGAGAATCTAACAGTATTTAAGTTTTTCCTATCTTAAGAATTTGTTTGTGTTGTCTTTAATCAATCACTAAAGTAGGATCTTGGCTAGTTAAAGTGAAGATCACAGTTCAAATCTGTCTTCTTGGCGTCCTTGTTAATGATAAAAATTTTCAGAAGCAATAGAAAAGGCAAAGTGGAACCAACAATACAAGACAAGAAATCATGCAACTTTAGACGTTGAAGTTAACTACTACTACAGCAACAGGATTGGATACCCTTGCTTGCATGCATCGGACAGTAAAATAAAGAAAGGCCTAATTAGTAACTATTGATCCAGGAAATTTACGAAAAAAGGTAGATAAACCATGGTTGTCGGCAAGGGAAACATTGGAGAACAAGCATGGCAAAGGAAAATGGCTTTACAGTATACACTATCAAGAAGTCCACAGGAGAGATCCTAAACTTGGTACTGACTTTTGAGACAGCAATTTACAGCCCTGACTTGGATCCTCAACAAGGGCATGTATATCCATAAACCAAACTAAGAAGCTCTTCAAAATCCAAGCTTGCTAGTAACGTTGTTTAATAATACTGGCACGGCGCTAGAAGAACAAAATATATGTTTATAATTCTTCCCTATTAGCTAATTTTCACACTTTCGGCTTTCCAGATTTGTAAGAGAAGTGAAAAAGATTTGTGAGCAAATTGATACAAGACGAGAGCCGAAAAAAAAAGAGAGCACCTTTGAGCGGCCCTTGAAGCCCTAAGCGAGGCACATAGAGAACCAACTTTAGAAGGAACTTTTTAAGCACATCATGTTGGAATAAACTTTCCAATATGATATTTCCTTTTCGTGCAAATTTCTTTGAACCTAGATCCACCTGCTCATGCGTCTCCATCTCTCCCCCTTTCACATGATACTAGAACCCATAGCTATCATAGGCTATTTTGGTTTCCAAAACTGTCGAGGACAATTTTTGTTTTCAAGGACAACAATGAAAACAAAATGTTCAGAAGTCAGACATTAATGCATGTTTATGCATCTCATTGGCCTGAATTTTGTCAAGATCCTAAGCAGAGCAGACTTTTTCCTTCCATGACATCTACAAACATAACCCATTTATGATTTATCTGCAATGAACAACGTAGACCTGAAGTGTTAGGAGATTGAACCTTTTCTGTGTGAAATCAACCACATTTTAGTTTCATTATTACACTATATCACTCATGCTCTGTTGTTACAGGACTTGAGGCTTGGCAAACTTTGCAACGGCAAGCATGAATGTTACCTCATATCTGTTGAAATTCCTAAACCTACATATCAAGCCAGATCTTAAGACACACATGCCATCCAACTATAGACACATTTTTATTTGTGTGTCCGCGCATTCTAACTGCCTTTCAGCTTTCATCATCGCAGTCTGGTTAAAGCAATGAAGCTTTGGAATTACGTTTAATCATTTAACATATCAAGCATTTCAAAAGCAGAGTAGTCAATCAAAAGAAGGGAATTCTACTCCATATAAACGAAAAAAGCAGCAATAGATCATCATCCCCATTTCATTAGCAAGTAAATAAAATTGGAACAGAGTACTCATAGCTTTAATTAGCAAAAGAAAACGCACCACAGCTGCGTTTGTTTTTCAAAAAAGTGAGGATGTAAGTTCAGATACATCAGAAACAACTTGATCATAATCTGCCTTCAATTTTTCTTGAACCTCCTTGGCCATTTCCCCCTTGGTAGGCTTGGTCAACACTAGCACACAGCAAGTAGGCCTTTTGGTGGCTCCAGCAATAGAAAGATCCTGAAAAGCCAATGCCAAAAAATTGAGGATGAAAATTACTGGCCAAGGATGGTAAGCACAGAGCAAGGATTCTTCCACTTCAATAAGCATCTTTAAGAGTTCCACCACCATGAATTTAATAATAAGATATAAGAATATTAAGGGGTCGTGGAGATGTAAATCTCGCGAATAATTTGATATGCTTGGGTTCAAATAAGATGGAGATTGGAATTGATTCCCAAGTGACATCCACAATTAAGATATTGAGTGGTACCAAAACAAGCCAGATATATATAGTAAAATCTTTAATGGTAATTGAGCAGTCCAAACAAGAACAGAAACTAATACTTCGCTATAATTATTATTCAAAATGGGAAAAAAAAAAGTCACAAACTAACATACAAATATTACAACAACAAAATGGTCTATCTTTTTTTCTTAACCCGAAAGCTTAACAAACAGCAAAGTAGAAATACCATAAAAATCAAAGATTAAACAATATCCCAACAGAAGAAATAAACTTGCTGAATAGTTGGGTTGTTTGGCATGGATTTTTTTGGCTATGATTAAACCATCAAATGAAAAATTATTAAAGACTATAGTTACAATGGAATGGTAAACAACCCATCAAAAGGACATTACTGAAAACTGAGAACTTACTTCTTTAGAAGGAACATAAACATAAGGAATGTCAGACTCTTCACATAAGATTGGAACATGAGTGATGACATCAATTGGAGAAATGTTTCCTGCTATTATGCATAATCTGTCAAAAAAAAAATTCAATTACTTTAGAGCCAGAAGAAAAATTCCTCTTTTTAAGCAATTTATTTATTCACCATGCACATAATGTTTGCAGACCCTTTATGGCCACGACGAACGCTCTTCACCACTTCCTTCACTCCTCTCTTCAAGCATTTTGATTCAGACGCTGTACATAATCCCAAAAAATAAAAATTATGAAAACAAAGAAAAGATAAATTTTTGGAAATAATACCACCTACCTTTACGAACGAGCTTGAGAGTCCGTTTGCAGAGTTTTTTGCCAGCTAAGGGTTTGGCAATGGGAGCCAAAGTTGTTATTTTCTTCTTTTCTTTTATGTTTGATCTCTCTGTTTCGCTATCACTTACCATCTCTCTCTCTCTGTCGTTTGCAGCTAGAAATCAACCGGGATGAGTGGGAGGGTGGCGAGAACTTGGAGAGTTCAGGGCTTTTGTTTCCATTCTAGGGTTTTGACCTTTGTTAGCCCTATTGATCTAGGCCCTTCGTTTTAGAGAAATTTGAAGGGGAAAAATCAACGATCAGGGATTTTATTTATTTATTTAATTGAGCATAAAACTAATTGAGAAGGACAAAAATAAAAACATAATGTGGCAGAGCAGGGATTTGAGCCCAGGTCTCTATGGCCATAATGTAGTATTCTAACCACTAAACTACATCCATACGCTGTCTGAATATGATTTATATCAGTAAAATTTCAACACATCGTTCCAAATCTCTTTCGTTCGGTTATCATCATTGCCAAGTGGATGCCGTTTTATATCTTCATTGAATAAGTAGGAAAAGATGAAGCATTCATGTAGAAGTTATGAAAAGAATTGGCAAAATTATTTGGTCTTCTATTTTAAGATCCTGGCGAAATGTGATTCTATAGCCTGGAGGCTCGTCGGCTAATTTGATGCTTAACAACTACGATTATCCGGAAAAACAGATGTTGCTCACATGCATCATACCAAGGGAAACGAGAAAACAATTCACAAGGAAACGAAAAATAGCAAAGATCAGAAAATTGATGCAACACAATAAACTATTCAAATCCAATACCAGAAAACTGGATGAATTCAATAACATAACTAGTCTGGATACAAACACCAAACCCTTATTTGAAGACACAATAACTAGTTTGGATACAAACACCAAACCCTTATTTGAAGACACAAGAAGGACTAGAGACATGGAGACAACACAGTTGCGAAAGCTACCGAGAATTAGAAAAACATAATGGTCACTACAATTGCAGTCATCAGGGTATGCCTGAGAAGCAATTCTTTTATTTAATTCATAGCTGCAGACGACACTTCAACATAACGCTAATAATCTTCTTCCTGCTCTTCCTCTTCACAGCAGCATTTAAGGATTGATCTAGGAGAACCAACATCCCCAGACCTAACAAAATTCTGGTAGATAAGCGAACCACCCATACCAAGCTCTTCATGGCTCTTCTCTCCACGACAGAATCCCTTCACATCCAGTGAACAAGTCTGCTCAAGTCGTTCTCCAGCAGCAACAGCATGCACAGCAATGGAGAATTCACTTGGTCGGAAACAAGCCAACACCCTATCAACCAACTGGCTCAGGCTCACATTTTTCAGATCATATCCTGCAGCTTCAAAGCTTGCATAACTGAAACCATCCTCAGGAGTCACATGGATGGTAGAGATTGCATTCCCTTCAATTGAATTCATGGAATAACCACAGGGTTCAAACTCAAAATCACATATATTAGAGGCTGGAAGAATCTTTCTGATGCCAGAATCATCGGTCATTGTAGCAGCTGAAGATGATTGTGTTTTGAAAAACACAGAAGCCTTTTCACTGTCCAAGCCAGTCATGCACATCTCTATTGTGTAAACAGGGTCAAAACAGATGGCCGAATCTGCAGATGCAGAGTAAACATGCCATTTCTGTGGTTTGTCCAAACCACCCATTATGTAAGCCTTGCTTGTGAAACCAAGCTTACCAAAATAGCCATCCAGGACAGCAACTTCTTGGGAGAAATTGCGATGAGGATAGGACTGAGCTCCAGGGAAAATGAAGCTCCCACGAGTATACCTCACTGATTTCACATTTAGAGAAAGCGAGTGAGCCAACTTCAGGATAGGTGTGATTGAAAGAAGTAATTTCGTAGTCCCACATGTCTTAATGATGATCTTGTAAGGATATACAAAGAGGCTCGACTCAGAGAGGACATAGGAGTCCACATAGTCATTTGATAGTGAATCAACAATAGTGCACTCAGCTGGTCCAAGAATCTCATCCAACTGGGGCTTTGACAGGGCTCGAAGGCCATTCCCTTCAGGATCAACAAAGATGCCCGGCTCAAAAAAAGTAATTTCGAGCCTCTTTTCAAAACCTTCAAATCCGATTGCAGAGACTGCCAGATCCATAATGCCAAAAAGGAATTTTCACAGCAGAGAGTTTTGGGGTTGCCAAGGAACCACAGTCAAATGTAGTCAAAACAGGGACTTCACAGTTGCAAGTATCACAATCCGACGGAGATCACAGTCGCGCAGAGAGAGAGAGAGAGAGAGAGAGAGAGAGAGGAAGAGATTGTTTGAACAAGAAACTAAAATACTAACTAAAGCAACTATAGATGATGGACCACGTTATGTGGTCAGAAAGCCTTCTTCTTAATGGATATCAGGATGGCCTGCGAACGCACTGCAATAGGAAAAGGAAAAGAGGGAAGAAAAACGTTTGAATTCTTTTAATGATCAGCAAAAATCCCATGATAGAAGCAAAATCATCAAGAACACTTACGTTGGAGTAAGCAGCTGATCTGAACTTCTTGATTCCACCGTTGGGTCGAATGTCTTCAATGCTGTAACCAAGGGGAGCTTCGTAAAATAAGGTTTTACTACTACTACTAGACTTCTTCCCACCTTTTGACTCCATTAGATCATTCAGCCTTTCCTGCTCAAAACAAAATGGCAAAAAAAAACAAAAATAAAATATCAGTCACTGTGATTAAAGATACCACAACAAACTTTGAACAAATCAGAATGAAAACAACCTGATTTGAATCCAACTCAAAAGAGCATAAGAAAAAGCAATCTAACCTCCAACAAGCCAACATTCATAAAACAACAATGTATATCTCACAATCCAAAAAAATCCAAAAAAGAAGAAGGAAAAGATGAAAGGGTCTAAGATTTAAACATACACTCAAAACAAGAACTTCAGCAAACAAAACCAAAGCCTAACCAAATCTGCTCAAACCCTAACGAAACAAGATCTAAAAACAATAACACTATCTAAAACCAAGGGAAAAAAAGTGTTGCGCATCAAAAGACAAATCTTAACAATAGAAAAACGGATCTATAATAAAAACAACAACAAAAATCAAAATCTTCAAAAACAATACTAACAGCGAAACTGACACAAAAATAAAACAAAAAAACAATATTTTATAATTAAAAAATTAGGACCGTTAAACTAAAACTCTCGTAACCACGAATCAGCATCATACAAAAAACTTAAAAAAATCAATCAATCAATCAAACAAACAACAAAGAAACAAAGAGAAGAATTAAATTATAAAGGAAAAAACTTACAAATACAAAAACGTGTAATTTCTAACGCCAGTAATAACCGAAACGCGATTGAACTTACAGAGATCACCTGAAAACAGCAAGCAACCGTCTCAGCAACTAAAAGAAGTAGGCAAAGACGATAATAAGAATTACACAAATGCAGGTTTGAAGGATCAATAAATAACAAGAGAAACACTTACCAAAATTTGCAGTGACTGGAAACCCTAGAAGTTTTGAGAGGTTAGAGAGAGAGAGAGGATTCTTTTTGGCTTTTTCTGTTCGCAAATAGACTTATTGTGAACTTTTTGAACGAGGATGAAATTCACAACGAACGAACTTATAGGAGAAGAGGAAGCGGGGTAGGTGGGGAGAGTTTAGGAATGCCACGGGTTGTCATCCTAATTACGCTCTTGCCCTTTGGTAACCAAGTCTTCTTGACGGTTCCTACGGTCTTTATTAGATATACCAAAGAGCTGTCCTCCCAGTGTTTGGGAAAAAATAATAATAATTCACTGCATCTGAAGTTTATTATTATTATTATTATTATTTTGGATAATCCATGCATCTAAAGTTATATTTTTATATATCTGTCGTAAAAATTATATATGAAATTCATTTTTATGTGACAGGAGGCGAGGGAGTAATGGACTTTAAGTAGAAAGAGGTAATTCTGGCCTCCTAATTGGGAATGGAATTTATAGAATTGTTTTATTTCAAAAACTAATGGTTTAATTGCTCATTAAAACTCAGATTCTCAATTCAAGATGGAATATTTTGAATAGGTTTCCTTTTATGTCCGGATGTTAATGGTTAAAAAGAGAAAAAATCAATTTTTTCCCAATATAATTAGTCAAGTTTGGAATTCGAATCTATTCTATAAAAAAAAAAAAAAAAAAAGAGATTTTTTTAGCCTGTCAACATCCTACGTTCAATGTCATACATAATTTAACGAGTCAAAAACATATTCTCCTATAACTTCACCTCAACCTTCAAAATATATATATATATATTTTTTATTTTTTTTTTGGGTTAATGTAACAATTTAAATATGGATTGTTTGTTTGAAATTCAATTTAAAGGATTTAATTTCAGTATAAAAATTTACTTTTCAAAAAAAAAACATTTAATAAAAGTATTTGAAGAGTGGGGAGTCGATTTTAAGGCCTTTGGCTCTACATTTGCAAAAAAAAAAAAAAAAAAAAAAAAGAAGAGTATCATCTATTTTTCACATGATGGAAACTAAAAAGAAGTAAAAAATATATAAACAAGCCGATATGTCAATTAATAGTAAATGGTGACGTATGGATTTTATAAATAAAAAAATTAACGGTGGCACAAGTTTCTTTACTCTTTTTTTATTTTTAATATTTATTGTGTTTTTTTATATCTTAAGTTGATCTTTTTATATTTGGTTTATATTTTAATCTCATCTCTCTTTTAACTTTTGAACTAATAATGTTGATTTATTATTTTATTTTTTTCTTAATCTGGTCCTTCTACTCTCTTTTTTCAGTCTTAATCCTATTTTTTATTGAATTTATATAAATAAATGTTGGAAAATAAAAGAATAAAGATATATATGATCATTCTCTCTAAAAAATAAAAATAAAAAAGTTAAAAAATGTGAAGATAAGATATTTTTTTTATCCAAAATATCTTTATGTATTTAAATTTATCTTTATAATAGTAAAAAATTTTAAGTATAAAATGAGATACTTATATTATTATTTTTAAAATATGAAGAGAATTTTAGTTCAATTTCATTCAAAGAGTTAAAAAGGATACTATAAATATTTTACTTTATACTCAAAACTTTCTTACTATCATTGCCCATAAAGGATATTTGGGATAAAAAATATTTTTTACTTCACTTTTTTTTTCAATTTTTAAAGTGAATGACCAGATATATTTTTACTTGTTCCTAATTTTTTATTTTTCAAAATTTATTTATTTTAATTTGTTAAAAAAAATAAGATTAAGACAAAAAAAAAAAAAAGAGTAGAGTGATGAAATTTAAACAGAACAAAAATTAGTTAATACTATTAGTTCAAAAGTTAGTAGAAGGAGGAGATTAAAACGATGTTTGATAAAAATGAAAATTAAGTATTGAATCTATTAAGTACTAAATTTTAAGTATTCAATAATTAAGTATTGGATATGTTAATGATAAACTGTTTGATATTTATTAAAAATTAAGTGCCGAATACAATAAGGTTGTTTGGTAAGTATTGTTGTTAAACATATTAAGACTATATACTTGACAATTTTAATCTTGCAATTGTAACATGATATTTTTTTTAATACAAATAAAAATAGATACATAGATGTGTTTGTGTGTATAAATAAATAAATAAAAATTCAATAAAAAATTATTAATTAAAAAATTAAATACAATAAGACAAGTATTAATTATCGTATCATGCATAAAATAAATGAAATTTCAAGTATTAATCAATTTATTTATAATTTGATATTACAAATTAATTATAAATATTTGATCATTTCATTTAGCACTCTATCTATGCGTTAAACATACAGAATTTTGCTGTACAGTCTTTTTTGTATGGACGCTTTATGGAGTTTCTTTTAGTAATATTGGACCGATGCTATCAATCTTTTTCCACAAAGAGATGAACGGACAAGCTGGACGCTTTCTGTAAGGACCTAAAATTTTAAATCATGCTCCTTCTGGGGTATTTATCAAGAAAATAATCTTCCATGCTGATGTTAAAAGCTGTCAAATTCAACGATATTCCCTACTTTGCTAGATAACCAAGAAACTGCATTTGTTCTTGATAATAAGTAGCTAAAACTTTTGTAATGAAAAAGAATCTATGCGGCGAGTTGACAATCCAATCATATTACAACTATGACAGCTTTTCAAGTCCATTGAAAATAAAAGGAAAAAATCGAGGGAAGTCTGACCCTGTCAAAGAAGTAGTCGCAGCTCATTGGTTAACAAACTTTATTTATGTTTTGCCAATTGAAAATAATAGATATTGTTTTTCGATCAATTTGTATAGTTAAAGTTATAAAAATATATAAAATTAAGCTATATAGTTATATTTAAAAAAATAAAAATCTTTTAATTATTTGTATTAATAAAAAAATTTGAATTAAAAACTTTAACGTACCTAATTAAATAAATTTTAACTGAATTTAAATTTTAAATATGAAATTATTTTAATTATAAAACAAAATTTTTATATTAAGTACTATAACATAATTTTTTAAACATCGTAATAGATTATCAAACACACCCTAATACAAAAACTAAGCATAAAAAAATAATTTAAGACGAAAAGAAAAAAATATATATATAGAGAGAGAGAGACTTATGCAACCATTAACCTTAAATAAAAATAAGTAGTCTTTTATATATATTAAAAAAAAATACTATATGTCTTTTTATGAGGATAATTTTTTTAAAAAATGCTTGACTCTAAAACAAAATATCTGAGCAGCTATGGTTGTTAATTACGTACCCATTCCATTACCAACCGTTCAACCTTGCATTCGGTTGTTGAACATTATGACCTCGGACCCTTTTGAGTTGGTTCTCCAGTTCGGAAAAATAGGAAATAAAACATAACATTTTACTATTAAGGAAATTTTGATATTATTCCACCGAAGAAGAGGATTAATTTTCGTTACTTAAAACAACATATTTGATTTTTTTCTTTTCTTTTTAGAATTCTAATCCATTGGTTAATCATATAATATCTCATAACTAATGAATTGTAGTTCAACTAGTATTAATGTTTTTTTTTATAAAAAAAATCAAATTACAATTCTCTTTTATAACAAAAAGATAATAATAACAATATTTCATAAAAAATGGCAAAAGATTTTCATTTTTTTTTTCATTCTAAGTGAATTATTATTATTATTTATGAAATATTACAAGTGAATTATATGTAAGTTTAGCAGGCAAATGCTTAGAAAGACAAACTATTTCTTATCTTTTCAAGGGTTTTTTTTTTTTTTTTGTCGTCTTTATAGCAAGGAATTTTGTGTTATAACATCAAACATTACGTATTAAGTTGCATTGTCAGTCTTTTTTTTTTTTTTTTTACCTGAGGTGGGGTCAATAGATTTAAGCTTGAGCACAACAATTTTGAGAGCCTTAGGCCCGATTGATAAAGCGATTTTATTGTATTTAAAAATAGGTTTAAATCGTAAAAATATCAAAATAATATATTTTTAAATAGTTTTGATGGGAAGATATCAAAAAATAATGAAAAATATCTTTAAAAAACTATCAATTTCATACAATTTTTAATTAAAAAAACGCTTTTATAAAATCGTCTCATACCTATTACTAAATTCACATAGCTTGAGAGCCTGAGTATAGGTTTTAATTTATTTATTTTTGTGCAGACATTGACCATTAGGCCCATTGGCTTGCATTGTGACTTTCCATGTCAAACTCTTTAAACGGACAAATGCCACATGCAATCGCTTATAGATAGAGACCCGATAAGGTCACGTGTAGATTCCAACATAACAAACCTCGCATGCGGATCCACACAAACGTGTTAAG